AGACTAGTTAAACTGGTGGAAGAAATTTCAAGGCAGCCCGATGTTTAATCTGCAGTATGAGCACTCCTTATTGTTTTTACTGAGATGTTTAGTAATAACCAGTAACAAACAGCAGAGTTGAATGATTTGAGAAGTATGCAGTTTTATCAGGATGGAAATACCTGCAAAGTTGGGGCCTTGGTGGACACAAATGCCAAAAAGATTAACATTTAAGAAAAAGCCAAATATCTTGTATCAGACCATAGCAAAGATGCTTTGAGAGCATCTCAGGAATCAGCAAGACCCCACCCTTTGCAGGGTCAAGGTTACAAAACTAAGTGTCTTGAGAAGAGAGCTCCAGGGTACCCTGCCCAAGAAACACCACCTATGAAATTGGTTCTCTGGGATTTAGCTCACAGTGATTAGGTACTTGGAAGCCTCTATGTCCATAATCAAAAGGGACCCAGGTATCGCTCAAGCTGGTAGCAGACAATGGTATCATTGACATGCTACTTCTTTTGCAAGTATGCAAATATAAACATTTTGGAGTCATGGAGGCTTCCACCCAAATTTCAGAGGAAGGTTTGGGTGGCTGGGCAGCATACCACTGAGAGGGCAGTATAGGAGGCTATGAGAGTGAAGCCGAAAGTGCAGTGGAGGCTTAGGAAGTTGAAAATGCCAGGAAAATGAAACATCTCGGAAGAGTCACAGGCAGAGAACAAAGCCACTCCGAGACAAGCCATGAGAGCTGTAACCAGAGATACCGTAGAGCTTAGGCCTGCCCAAGCCCTTTGGAGCCCACATCGCACCACAACTTGCCTGGGGAGCTGGATGTTGAGCTATAGGAATTTAATGTTTTCCATGCTGGGTTTTGGTCTTCCTTTGGTCCCATTTCTTTCTATCCTCTTATTTCTCCATTTTGTAGTGGGAATATTTATTTTATGCCATTGTATGTTGGAAGTATTTAAATTTCTTTTTTATTTTTACAGGGGTTCACATTTCAGAGTTTGTGATTTGTATAAAGAAATATCGTTATACTTTACATCTAGAGTGTTCCCTCAAATTCTCAGAGGTAGGTCTTGTTATGGTTTGTATCTAGATGCCAAAGCCTCCTATGAGGTCACAGGTAAATGGATCTGGAGTGTGCGATGCTGGAATCAAGGGCATGTGACAACTGAATTAGTCCACTGACTTGTTTGGCATTGTTCTGGGCAGGACCAAGGGTGCCCCAGCATGGGTGTGAGTGCTGTGCACCCTAAGGATAAGTAGGCTGGATAAGATATATGGGCAGAAAGGAGGTCCTTGCTTGTTGCTTGTTGCTTTTCACTGTTTGCTTTCACTTGTTGCTTGCTGTCATGCTGCTTGCAGCCTTCTGTGTGCTGTGCTTTATCACACTGTTTCTCCTCAGAGATGCCCCTCTGCCAGGCCTCCCTGCCTTGAAGCCAGTTCACTATGAACTAGAACCTCTACCAACTGTGAGCCAAATAAATTTCTCCTCTTTTAACTTTGGGTGTCAGGTATTTTGTCTCAGCAACAAGAACGAGCAACAAAGACAGGTCTTTTAGAAGGAGATTAGATCCTGAGCTGCTCTATCCACCAGTGGCTTCATCGACTAATGAATTCAGTAGCTAGGTGCGCTGTTAGGAGGTAGGGTCTGGTCAGAAAAGAGGGCCAATGGGGCTGTGACCTGGTAGGGTCTATCTCCTTCCCTGGCCCCTCTGTTTACTCTCTGCTCCTTGGCCACCATGGCATCAGAAGCTTTCCTTGCCATGCCCTTGTACAATGCCAATTCTACCTAAAAGGGACTGTTACCATGGGCTAAAATAAACCTCTCCTTCTCTAAACTGCAGGTGTTTGGTATTTGTTCCCAGTGCCGAGAATAGTGACTAAGGTGGATATGCATGAGTCTTTTGAGGGCCGGAGGAGGGACGCCATAATCTGATCTAAAATGGCTCCCACAGTCCTCCTGTGCTCAGAGGTGGGGCTTTTGAAAGGTGACTGCGTCATGAGGATGCAATACTCAACAGAAGTAGGTGAGCTGTTGGAGGTGGAACCCGGCCGGAGGTCGACCACTGGGAATAAGACCTGGAACAGTTCATCTTCCTCCCCGGCTCCTCGGTCTTCTACCTCTGCTTCCTGGTCATGATGATGTGAGCACCTCCCTTTGTGGCAGACCCTTCCACCATATTGTTCTGCATGCGAGCCCAATGACTGTGGCCTAAAACTGTGAGCCAAGGTAGACCTATCCTCCCTTACCATATACCGTATAATATACCATATACCGTCAGGTGTGTTGTCCCAGTGACGAGGAATGTGACTAAGACAGATTTGAACACAAACTGTCTAAGTACCAGCTTCGGATAAGTAGCAGAACGTGTTTGGTCATGTGCTTTCTACCCTAACTAACCAGGCTCCACTGTCATTTTGATTGGTAGAAACGAATAAGTGCTTAGTACAAGATCTCTCTTCTCTATCTGATGGGAACACAAACTACAGTAACACTTTGCTTCATGGACACTTCTGTTTCAAATAATTTGGTTCACAAACAAAAGCATTTGGCAAAACTCTGCTTCTGTTCTAAAACTCCACTGCATGTGACCACCATGACCATGACCATCTCCCCCACCATCACCCTGCAAACGCGGCTATCTACCCCCAAATCAGAAAACAAATAAGTTCATCAGTGGAGGCACCACTATGTTTCCAGCCCTAGATACATACTAAAAATTGGTTTATGGGTTTTACTGTTGTTTATCTCAGCCTCACGGAGCTTCACCCTTCTGCTCTGCAGATCACTCAGTACTCTATGGAAGACACAAGGAAATACTCCTGCATGCATCCACAACTGTCCCTGTGTGCCACTTCCTCCTCCCTGGAATTCTGCCCACTGCCAACTCCCTGAATTCCCTTCTCTGTCTCTTCCCTGAGCTCTACACGGGTCTCTATGTGCATCTCCTCCCTGGTCTACACCCTGGACATCCCTCCAGGCAGCAAGCAGGCATTGCTGCAGAATTTTATATTTATTTCCCTTCTCTCTGGGGTCACAATTCTATATAACCTGTTGTCCAAGGTAAAAAAAAAATACCATTTCATATATTTTCCCTATCTTCTAGTTATTTCTAGTAGGAGGGCAATTCTGCACAAGGAAAACTCCAAAATTTTAAACCTAATCATTTAAACCTAAATAAAAACTTGAATTGTGTTGTTTGTCCTTAAAATTCATACTCAGAGATGCAAAAAAACAACAACAAGAACAACAACAAAAAACCCACCTCATATTTAGCATAGTAAAGCTTTTGTGGAAATGTTCTTTTTGGGGGACCTTTTACAGCTGGGCCTTCCAATATGGTAGCCAGTGGTCTCGTGAAGCCACTGGTCACTTTTATTACAGCAAGTTCTTGAAGGCGTAACACACCTTCAATATCCAAGACTTAATATTTTTTAAAAGGCTACGATGCACTTATTAGTTTTTATGTTAATTACATGTTAAAACGACAGTGTTTTAGAGATTTGGGGTTAAAATTGTGTTTACAACATTAATCTCATCTGCTTCTTTTTACCTTTTTAAAATTTCTATTGGAAAATTTGCACTTCCCTGTGTGACTCACATTATTCTTCTAATGGCCAGTACTGCTTCTAGCAAGATTTTCTGTCGACATTTATGGGTCTGTGAAACTCTCCTCCCAGTGACTTTTCTTGCTACCTCAGTCTGTTCCTTCTCAGGCTCCTTTTCTGAAACCTGAATCTGCTGTTCTCAAATGTGATTATGGTCCAAAATCCCTTACTGGTGCTCTGGTTAAAGAGAAGATTCAGTTAAACAGAATGAAGGTCCACAAATATGGATCAGTTCAGCTCTACTCTCCCTCATTTCACTCTGTATCCCTTAGGTAATTCATCTTCCTAACCCCATCCCATCCCTCAGAATAAAACTATTATTACTCACAAACTAACATTTGTCCGAAGTATTATCTTTCAAGTCAGATTCCTCTTGTTATGAGCTTTCCTTCCAACTGCCAAGTGTGAATCTTCCCTGGCTAGATGCCTCCAATGTAGAGTATCCAAAATTTAAATCCCAACCTCTCTTCCCCCCAACCAAGTCCCCTTTATGTCCTACCAGTTACAACTCAAACCCTAAAGTCATCCTGTCCTTTCTAACATCCATATTTAATCAGTTACAATATGCCACTGTTATGCTTGCTTAATTTCCATCCTCTATGCCTTCTTACTCCGTTTAGGGCAGTGTCCCTCAATCTTGGCACTACTGAACTATTTGGGCAGATAACTGCCATTGTGGGGGTTTCCTATGTGTTGTAGGATGTTTAGCATTTTCTCCATCCTCATCCTCCTAAATACAAGCAGCAGCCCCGAGCTGTTACAACTGATAGTGTCCAAGAGTGCGTGATGGAGAGAAAGGAATCACTTCCCACCCACAGAGCCAATGCCTTATCAATTGTCTGTATGACTCCAAGAGATTTCACACCTTGACAGGACTGTGCCTCATCCTCATTCTTCACCTTCTTACAGTTCTAGTTTTCATCAGAATAAAACCCAGTCTCTCTAATACGGCAATAAAACAGCATGTTTGTCTCCTACTTGCCTCTCCAGGTTTCTGCTCCAGCCATACTGAATTTCTTTGCTATTTAATCAGACATGGGTGAAATTCATATGCGGCATTAACTGTAGACAGTAAGACAAATATACAACTTCTATGAGGTTTTAAACATAGAATATGAGTAAGAATATACTCTGCAAAACACAGGCACAATTGCATTAAATATACATAGTAAGTTAGTAAACCATAAGACTCGCCCAAGTTAAAAGAAATAAGAAATCTGACAGGACAGAGAGTCACTTGAAGTGGAAAGTGATGGAAAAACGTATTATGAACAATCATGAACTGATGACTGTCAATCCTAAATCAGCTGCACATCGATGACACCTAGAATAGTCTTTTATTTTTCTACCCAAGAAATGGAATTAAAACCTATATCTGATCAGCAGCCTAACTCAGCGGTTCTTACGTGCAGATGCATTTCCGTGCTTCTCTCCAACAGAGTGAGGGTGTCATGGCCCCAAAAGCATCTTTCATCTGCAGATGAAAATGGCAACTGCAGTCCTCGTGAGCATCTTGTCCCTGGGGAAAGGTACAGTGACAGACAGGACACCTGAACCAATGACGTCGGTGGCCCTCCATTGCTTGCACACCACCTTAAGCATATCAATTTTTAACTGTTTTTCTTCTTGCTTTTTGATGGCTGCTTAAACGGATCCAACAAGCTTTATTATTAAAGAATCTTCACTTGATCTTTGAGTCTTCTGTCTCATCACCTGTGGGATAGCTCGATTAGAAGTTTACTTGAAGGCCATCACTGCATCAAATATGTTCAGTTCAAACCCCAATCCCACCCCCTTAAGTCCCCTGCGCAACAGTCCTTCTCATTTCACCCTGCCCTATGCTTCTCCTGGGGTATATATCACTCCACCCCGCGATGAACAGTTTACTCCTCTGTCTCTCTCAGTCTATGAGTCTGTTGGAAGCAGGAGTAAATTTTATGTTCTGTCTCAGTATTCCTTAACGTAACGCCAACCACAACATAACCAGCAAAGGAAGCGTCCCAGGCCACCTTCTGCAGACACAGGTAAGGGCACGACCCATGGTTTTTGGCTTTCTCCCACTCTTGAGACCGGTATAGAACAGAGGTGTCAAACCGTGTCTCTGGAAAGGACAGAACAAAAGAGTTACCAGGAGGACTTACAGTGGGTGTAAAAACTTCCTGGCCATCATGGGCCTTGGTGAAAGTATCAGTTACTTTTCTCTCATTGCTGAGACAAAATACCCGGCACCCAAAGTTTGAGGGGTAAAAGTTTATTTGGTTTACAGTTCGTAGAGATTTCAGTCCATAACTGGCTGGCTCCAAGGCAGGGCAACAGTTCAGAACAAAAGCAACAAGCGAAGAAGGGAGGGGCCCTCAACAGCATCTTATCTTATGGAGATTAGCTGGGGCGGTGGCACGCACGCCCTCAATCCTAGTGCCCTTGAGCCCAGCATTGCGCCCTGAATCCATTCCAGAATAAGGAATTACACCTGTGATTGCCTGAGGCTGTGGGGAAGCCATAACAGTGAGCTTTACCTTACTTGCCTGGCCCTCGGTGTTCACCAGCTGCTTAGAACAACCATAATTTTAGGCCCGCCTTTAAGAGGCCCTGCACTCTGTGGAGAGCTCAGCCGGCGCTCCCCAGGAGCAAAGTGCACGTCCGCGCCCCCTTGTGGCCAGCCGTGGGGTAAAGGAGGGAGCCCTTGTCCTGTGGAAACCACTACAGGCCGCTTCCACAGTGGGCAAGAGCGGAGGCGCTTTTGGAATACATTTCGCTCGCAGGGAAGAAGCTGACCGAAAAGCGAAACCCCAAACGAAGCCTCCCCGCGGGCTGGGGACTCTGGGAGCAGAAGTCCGGCTTTCGTGCACAGTGGTGGCTCAGCGGGGCCTGTGTCTGGCGAGAGACGGCTACGGGGACCTCCCGGGAAATGAGCAGACGCCCGGCTCGCTGTGAAGCAACCGGTGCCGGCCCGGGCTCTTTCCCGCGTTCCCGCCCCCGGAGGCCGCCGTCGCGCGCCG